GGCAGCTCCAGCGCAGAGCCGTTTTCCTCTCGTCTGGATCTTCCCCTTCGCACCCTTTTGTCATCCCCAGAGCCCGTATTTTAATTACCACAGGGGTTGTGTAAAGGGTACGTGCTGGCAGAGCCATTTGCCAGTCTGCAGTCTGAAGTTTTATGTCATGGGAGATTGAATCATCTTAGTGAAAGCGATGTAGTTATTAAAATGCAGACATTTGTGTACAATTCTTATCCCTCTAAAAACCAAAGTCTGCAGCTGTAAGCATTAAACTTACTCCAAACAAAGAATTACATAATGTATTTGTACCATAGTTACACATCTGATAATTTACATCAGCTACAAGCATCCAAAATCAATACATCTGAAGGTGCTCCCTCTTTTTTTCATTTTTGACATAGCAATAAATAGTATGTGGCAGCGTTTTTCTTTTATGGTCTGTCTAGGATCTTTCCTCTTAGATTCTATGCTGCTTTCAGATGAAAAAGGTAGGAGAAATATTTGCCTATTTAGCATTACTTACAAAGTTTTAAAAATACCAAGTATAATTTAAAGTAGCACCACGTGTTATATAATTTTCCTTAACTCATTCTCAGATTGAAAATATTTCAAGTAGAAATATTCCTTTGAGCACTTCAGGTAATGTTAAATCTTCTTTCAGGGGAAAAAGCACATTTGTTTACTTTTCATAATGGTTTTTAAATGTATTACAGCCAGTATCAAACAAAGAGCAAAGTGCTTTTGTATAACTAAATGGTTTTCAAATAATAAACTTCTTTTAAGTTAATATATAATTGGAGTATATTATGAAAGGGATAAAATTTTCCCTAGCCGCATAGACAGGAGTTAGTCATTCAATATACTGCACTAAACAGATAATAGAAATTGAAGCAGAAAATGCACATCGAGACATCTACTGGTTTATATTTAAAAAGTTAAATACTTGGATGTTTCTGTTTAATAGTAACTCTGTGCATACATACATTGATTCCTGTTAATAAGGTGATACTGAACTTAAATAAGCAGGCTATTTGGTATACTCTTATGTAAAATTATACTTGTTTTAAATATATTTATTTTTTAATTTCTAATCTCTATCTTCTAATCTAATTTCTATCTCCTCCAATTGATCTACTATTGCAGTGCAGTATTGATCATTTTTAATCTGCTTACATAGATCCAGGTAAAGGCATAAGGCCTTAAGCTGCTTAGTTTTCTAGTTATCATGGATCCAAATGCCCTATGGCTTTATTTATATTTTATTATTTTTTTTTTTTTATTGTAGATTTTAGCCATTACCAAGTAAATATTCTTCAAACTAACACTGAAAAATAATAACATTGAAGAGCGTAGTCTTGTTTTTCGTAATGATTCAGAGTTGACAAATATTGCTGCATTTTCAACTTGAAATATTTTACATGAGCATATGAAGTGTGAATGATATATTGCATATATTGATAGTTCTGATGATAACCTGAATTGTAAGCTGAATGGCAAATAAAGGTAACTTGAGTAGTTCTGCCCAGAATTTTTCTGTAGTGGGAAAGGGGCACCACAGAACCCACTCTCATATGTCTGTTCATTATATTGCTGTATACTAAATCCGTAAGTAGAAAAGAGTGGATTTCATGGCTCTTTAGGACTAGTTCTGGAAGTTCTGGTTTGGCCTCTGTAT